TCTGCCAGGAACCTGAATGCATGTGATATTTTTAAAGGGACTAGAACAAGAACAAGGTTTCAGGTCAGTTGTAAATGTCCCTGTATTCAAAATAACCTTTGGCGAGTACCCATGAACTCTCTTTTCTGCCTTTATATAAAACCAATTATACACTGTCATTTGAACAATAAACAGAGGACTTTTTAAAAAGTACTATTGATGACTGTTCTATTGTTTAGAAAGCAACAACTGTGCCTTTGGCTTCCTCGTGGGCTGCTGGCTTCATGAAGGATGTTGGTAGAGCTTTTGGTAGCAGAGTTCCACAGAGGAGAGAGCAGATGTGTGCCTACCTCATCGATCAGAATGGTGGCATATTCCTCCAGGGTGGCAGCTACAGGATGGGATTCAGAAATGGTGTGCCAGGGGCTCTCTGAGAGTCCTCCAGAACAGTTAGTGGGCTGATATGGATGTGCCGTGGGAAAAGGGTTCCTTGGTCAACTGCATATAGGCAACAGAAGGATAAACAAAGTCCCACAGGGTTTGACTTTCCCATAAAGGTATAATCTGAAGAACTGGATTCCAGGGATCACACTTTGGGAGTCATGAGAGTACCACTTCCTTTTCCAGCTTATCTTTTTACAACTGAGAGCAATGCCTGATCTTGACTGGACTTAAATGTGTCCATTAAAACATTGAACGAACATTTATTAAAGACATATGCATGCTAGTGCGGGGTGGGGGCAGCCTTGAAAAGACATGTCTCTGCCCTTAAGGATAGCACGGTCTAAGGGAACAATGTGAGCGATAATAAGAACAACAATAGCAGGTGTTTACATGTGTCACACATGCTTAAATAAGTTCACTTGAAAATATCAATAGGCAAGTCAGGGCTGACCTGTGGCATGGAAGAAATGCTTAGCTCACAGGAAGTAGGATCCTACACAGTGCCCACAGTTCAAATTCCTGGTTCTGTCACCCTAAAACATGCAGGGTATGTGTATGAGTGCCCAAGATCTGATGGACTAGAAGACTGGTGGGAATCACAACTCGAACAGGCCATGTGGAGGGTGCTCATCTGTCTCTCTCTCTATCTCTGTCTCTGTCTCTCTCTCATGCATTCTATCATGAATAAAGAAGGAAAAGTATTGGGGAGACCAGCATTATTCCTATTTTACAAGTGAAGAAATGAGGTTCAGAAATAGTAAGCAGCTAGGCTAAGGGCACACAGCAGAGATGGCACAGTAAGGTTTTGAAGCAGATACTTGGCTCCCAAGGCCACAGGCATCACACCATGTGCTCCAAGAACATCCCAGTCAAAGGAGAAAAGCATAGGGGTTAACCTGTAGGCCACCAAAATGGAAGGTGGGGCTAGCAGAGACCTCTAGACACCTTCTCTGGCTTGTGGGATGAGGTGTTCATAACCTGTAAAAGTGGCTCTCAAGTGAGAAAGAACTGGGGAAAACACAGAACTAGCATATAAACATTTGTGAGAGGGGCCAGCAGACGGCGTAGCAGTTATGTCACTTGACTCCCACACGGGCTGACCGCAGTTTGGGTACCAGGCCCAGAAGCTTAAACTTATGCCAGGACCTGTTAAGGATAATGTGTATAGTATTCTTAGCTGGACTGACTTGAAGTGTATTTCATGCTGATAAATTCTCTTTACAAGTCAAATGATGTATAGCAACCGAGTATTTAAAATAATAATGATAATAATAAATAATGAAATTTAAAAAAAAAAAAAAAGGAAAAGAAACTCATGCCAGGAGTGTGTGCATGTGTGTTCAAGATCCTGGGAGGAAAATGAAGGAGGAAGGATTGTGGTGTGGCCATTTCCCCTGGGAGGGAGAGTGGAATTTCCAATTTCTCATACAACCCAACTCTATCACCCCTGGGCGCTGATTTCTCACTTTCCCTCTCACTGTCTCTGTCTCTCTGGCAACCACATGTGCCCTAAGGCAAAACCTATACAAAAAAAAAAAAAAAAAGCTATGGGTTACCTCGGCAAAGGGAGGCTGGAGAAGGAAACCCAGGGTGATGGAAAGGAGGAGATTTGAGGGCACAGTGGGAGGAACAGAGACTGGAACCAAGACATCTGGCCTCTTTCTGGATCTTGCTCCAATTTACTGTGCAGTCTTGCACAGGTCACTTACCCTCTCAGGTTTAAACAGGTTGCAGCATTACATACCACCCATGTTCTAATACTGTAATTATGGATCTGCTTCCCCTAAAAGACAGTCCCTCTCAAGGGCAAGAAACTTTGATTTGCCTTATTCCCAGTGCATGGTTTCATACCCAGAATACTTTAGGTGCTCCATAAATGTTTATTGATTGAATGAAAAAGTAGGTAAGGCTGTCAAAGGAAGACATTGGGTGTGGTTGATTTAAAATGGCATGAGAGTAGCAGCTCCTGAGATGTATTTTCCCAGCTTTCCACTAAAATACCTAAGAAAGCAGAAAGAATTGAAAACTCAGTGCTGACACCCAAGACTGACGAGCGCCTGTTGCTAGAATCTGGGAGGAACTGCCACAAATACAAAGCAGAGAGAGCTGGGTTGAGATAAACAACTGGGAGTCTATTCAAGTTTTATCTCCTGACATGGGCACCCTTCCAGGCCAAAAGGATGTGGGAAAGTACTCAACCTCAGACTCTGCAATTCAGAAAACTGAGGCAGAAGATGGAGTTTTCTCCACGTGAGGGTTGTGAAGGTGTGTGTGCAATATTGTTAGCAAAGTACTCCTCTTTCTTGCTGGGCCACAAGTCTACTATTTAGAGACTGCAGTTTCCAGAAGATAATAGGTCAGGGGAGAGGAAATAGAAGAATGTCAAAGCCATCTGTAACATTTTGTATCCTGAGAACCAGCTCCCAGAAGTGCTATTGGTTAGGGAAGATCCTGGGACAGTGCATGCTGGGGATAGTAGTTTCTAATGTTCTTTCAATGCATTGTGCTGAGGGATAGAAGGGATAGAATTGTGCAGTGGATAGAAGGGGGTCCCTCCTCAGTTCAACACAGTGTATTACGGGGGTGGGGGAGTATCTTTTAAAAGTTCTTGGGAAGTGTACATTATGAAAATATTATACATGGATTTCAAATTTTTGCATAAAACTATTTTAATACCATTTTCCATGAACTTTTAGAAGTCCTCTTGTAGATAAATGCCAAGTTGCTCTGGCTCTACCTGCTATACGAACCAACCAGTCTTCCATCTCGAGGTTTAGATTATTAAGTGGGGTTGAGGATCAACCAGTATTTCAGTGGACAATGGGCAAAGGGGGTAATGAGGACAATTCACACACTATCTACTGGCAAGAATGAGATTTGAATAAGCTTATGGAAAGAATAAACAAAAGCAAACCAATGGAGTGTATGAAAGAAAGATTACATAAAGAGGGAAAGGAAATGTCTTCCTAAAAGGAACACCCTACCTCTGAAAAAAGTTTACCATATGTCCTAAAAGAAAAAAAAATTAAATGTGTCTTGTATACCAAATAGAATGCAAAAAAGGCATAATTTCAGTAGAGCAGGAGCAGAAATTTCTAAGGACAGTATAGACAGAGATTAAAAATACAAAAGGAAAACTAAAATTGCAATGACATAATTTAAATACTCAGTGGAGTTGGTTCAAGTGTAGAAAGTGATCCTGTGAAGTAATGTGGAAACAAACTTGGGTAGCTCTTGTAAAATAAAGAGAACGACAAAATGATGAAAATTTTGGATAGAAAGATTACTTATGAGAGGTATTATCAGCTTAAGGAATGTGAGTATTCACAAGGAAAAAAAGAACTGAAACAAAAGTAACAAGTATGAACAAAAATTACAAAAAGCATTTTGGTCAGAAAAAAATAGTCCAATCATATAGAAAAACCACATAGACAGAAAAAGGACTTACTGTATTTCAGGCAGAATTAAAAAGAAGAGGCACACATTATTTTTGGTTATCCTTTGCGTTATTAAAAAACAAAAACAAAAACAAAAAACAACAACAAAAAAAACACATGGGACCAGCAGTTGGCGTAATGGCTATGTTGCTGGACTCCCACATAGTCGACTACGGTTTGAGGCTTGGACCCGGTGGCTTAAACTCATGCCGGGTGCATGTGCGTGTATGCCCAAGATCCCAAGAGGAGAATGGAGGAGGAGGGATTGTGGCCACCCCTCCTGGGGGGTGATTTCTCATTTTCTGTCCCTCTGTTTCTGTCTTTCTATCAAGCGCACATGCCCTATAGCAAAAACCTCTCCAAACAAAAAAACACATGAATGTATTCTCTCTCATCATATGTGGGTTCCCTGGGTGTAGATGCAAGGCCTTGCTCTGTGTCACTCCTATGGTTGCAGTGAGTTGACGGCTGGAATTAGATCGTTGAAGGCTTCTTCCCTTGTATGTCTACATACGAGGCTTGGATGGCTCGAACAGCTGGCACTGCTCTCTTTACATGACCTCTCCAGTTGGGTAACTTGAACTTCCTCACAACATGGCAGTCCCAATCAAGTTATTGGACTTCTCACATGGTAACTGGCTTCCTCCAAAGTGAATGTTCTAGAAGTCCCTGAAATAAGCTTCAAGGCTTACTATGAATTCACCTCACATAACCTTGAAATCACACAATCTTGTCCATTTCACTCTATTGGTCAAATCAAGACAGTGGAGAAAGAGAGTCAACCTCTCAATCAGGGAAAGTCTTGCATGTACAGGGAGGGAAGGAACTGGTGTCCATCTTGGAAACACACTCCCACACACTGATATACCCTTGAAAATGTTTGAAGGAAAAGGCATATAAGGATCCAAGTTGCAAAACACAGGCTACCTGAGAAAAATAAAAATCAGATTTCTCACATGCAACCCCAAATATGACAGCAACATTCCCAGAATTATGGAGGTAAAAGTCTATGACTTAGTAATTTTATACTCAGTCAAATTATTAGTCATGTGTGAAAGTGTCTTAGTCTGTTTTCCATTGCTATAATAGAACACCACAGACTGGGTCATTTGTAAAGAAAATAAGTAATTTATTTCTTACAGTTCTGGAGGCTGGAAAGTCCAAGGGGTTGTGCCAGCATCTGCTCAGTATGTGGTGAAGATCTTCTAGCTGTATCATGACATGGCAGAGGCCATCACCTGGTAAGACAGAGTAAATGTGTATGAGAGAGAGCAAGAGTCACTTTTACAGCAACCCACTCTTGTAAAAACCCATCAAAATCCATGAGTCCATGAATAGACTAATCCGTTCGTGAGGGCCACATCCTCATAACCTAATCACTTCTTAATCAGTCCCATATCTTTTTTTTTGAGAGGTTTTCGCTATAGGGCGCGTGTGCTCGCCAGACAGACAAAGAGAAACATAGAGACAGGAAGCGAGAGATCACCCCCCAAGGGGGATGGTCACACCGCAATCCCTTCTCCTCCATTCTCCTCCCGGGATCTTGGGCACGCATGCACACGCGCCCGGTGTGAGTTCTAAGCCACCGGGTCCGGGACGCGAACGCGGTTGACTACGTGGGAGTCCAGCAACATAGCCATTACGCTAACTGCTGGTTCCCCATCAGTCCCATATCTTAAAACTGTTACAATGGCAGTTAAGTTTCAACATGAGTTGTGGAAGAAATATAAAAGCCATAGTGGAAAGCAACCAAGAAATATTCTCTGATAATTAAGAACTAAGAGAATGCACTGCTCATGTGATCTTTTGAAAAAGTCACTTGAAGATATACTCCAGTCAACCAAAAAGTGAATCTCGAAAGATGCCTGAATTGGAAGGCCAACGAAGTAGTCTCTGCTTCATGGCAATGTTTCCAGGAAAAATAAAACTGCCTAATATTTGGTGATGATCATATATAAAATAAATGGGGGCTGAAAATTTTCTGCATAGAACCTGCAGAATTGCTTCTACCACTCTCAAGTGTCCCAAGATACTGTGTACGGGCAGAGAAAGGCCTCATTCCCTCTAGGGATTAGCAGGTATTGTCAGTGAATAAAGTCAGACAAGTAAAACAAGGAAGTGAAGAAAAATAGGGAACTGGAATCCTTCATGTCCATTTTATAGGGAAAAAAGAAAAACATAAAGACTACAAGAGGGAAGTGACCTGTCCCGTGTCTTCATAGCTACTAGGATCAGGAAAGCTTATGCATACTGGAAGCTTCCTCACAAGTTTACAGGGATGCTGGCTTTATAAGGAGACAGGAGAGGCCTCTGTTTCTAAGAGGCGGATATGAGAGCAACCATTAGCCAGGGGCTCATGGCCCTGCCACTGGGCACTCTAGTCCATAGCTATTCACCACCAGCAAGGACAGGCCCTTGTCCCTCTACCAGCCCGATCAGCCCTCTCTAACTTATTCCTTCCTTGTCTCCGTTCTTCCATTTTCCCTCCTTTCCCACCTGCCTGCCCCCTTACCCCTTTTTCTTTCCTTTTTTAAAATGTTTTTGCAATAGGACATGTGTGCTCACTGGAGAGAGAAAGAGGCAAAGTGAGAAATCATACTCCTGTGGGGGAGGGCCATATAATCTCTTCTACTCCATTTTCCTCTCAGGATTTTGGGTATGTGCACCCACATTCCCAAAATCTTGTGTGATTTTCTTTCTTTCTTTCTTTTTAGGTTTTGCCATAGGGAGCATGCATTCACCAGATAGAGACAGAGAGAGGCAAAGTGAGAAACTGTCCTCCCAGAGGGATGGCCACACTGCAATCCCTTTTCTTCCATTCTCCTCTCATGCCCAGTGTGATTTTTCAAACTACTGTGTCTAGGAGTCAAACCACTGTTGCCCACGTGAGAGTCCAGCACCTTAACCAATACACCACTTGGTCCTGCCTTTCCTCAATCTATCTCCCCCCTTCTCTTTGTTTCTTTCTTTCTCTTACTCAACAAACTCTTTTAAGCACCTTCTATGTGCATATAATCAGGATAGGTTTTCAATGTGACACTTCTCACCCATCTCAGTGTTGGCTCATCTGTCTCTCATCTCATCAGATCTGTAGAAATGGGGTTTTATACTAAAATACAACAAATTTCTGCAAGGCCAATGGTATAATAATTACTCTACAGACAAAAATCACACAAAATTAGCTGAAAAACTAATGTGGTCCTTCAACTTTGTTCCTCCTCAGTAATTTCAACTTTGAAAATACTGTTATTTACATTTAAGAAAGAACTGATGAACAGGTGCATACATGTGGATTTTACTAGGCCTACAACAACTTAAGCAAGCTTAACCAGCCAGAGTTGAACATTCACTTCCTAGAGAGGCCAGCTGCTTTGCAAAGATCTGCCCATCTTTGCCCCAGACCTCATCCCTGATCATAGTTACAGACTGAAGTTTCCGTCCTCTATGGAAGCCACCCAAGTTGGGGGCTCAGGTGAAGGAAATGCTTCATTCCAGAACTTGGACCATGTTTGAATTTACACCTTTCCATAAAACCATGAACCTCTCTCTCCTCCATTCATCTTTCCCTCCACCAAGTTCCTCCCCTTAAAACCTCTTTTGGAAAGTCTTAATGTGTTGTTTTGCTCTAAGATTAAAATAAACTCAAACTTCTGGTTCCTTCTATCATTGTACCATCACGTTATAGGGGAAGGCTTAAATGTTCTAGACTTGTTTGGGTCCTCCATGTCCTTTTTTTGCTGAAAATCATCATTTTACTGTTAACTTTTTCTCTTAAGTTTGTGCAAATTGTCTGATGCTTTTGCTATAATCAAAACTATGTGAGACAGACATTATGTTGAGTGAAAGAAGCCAGACACCATATGAATTTATTTATGTGGAGGGTAAGAACAGGCTAAATGAATCGAGGTCAAAATAGTGATTCGCTCTGGTGATGTGGAATAGGTATTGATGGGCAAGGGACATGAGGGAACTTTCCAGGTGCTGGATATACTCTACCTCTTGACCTAAGTGGTGGTTATATAGGTGAGTACATTAATCAACATTCAAACATTCATTGAATTGTACATTTAATATATGTGCTCTTTATATGTGTTATACCTTGATTTTTAAAAATATATGTGAGCTAGTTTCTTTCCACTGCAAGTTAGTACTAAAATTTTTTCATTTTTTTTCTGTCCTTTGTATTATTGGCTTGCTTTATTGCTCTTTCCTTCTGTCAATATATTTTTAAGATGCACTGTTCAGTTGCTTTTATGGGTGTTTTCCCCACCCCAATATATTATTTCCCATTATTGTAATCTAGTATGGAAGCTAAGATTCATACTCAAGTATGAGTATGGAAGGAAGTATGAGAATTCCTAAGGATGAAGGCTAGAATGTAGTAAGTGATCTAGCAATTAATGTCCAATCTAGTGGCAACATAGGAAGAACAAACTGGAGTTCCATAGGCTGGGGACAGATCATGGAGGGCTTGGATACCAAACCAGTTTTGGTAGACAGCGGGGAACAAAAGGAGAGTATGATCAAACCCATGTTTCCCAAAGAGAAATATGGCAGTGTGTCCAAGATAGGGCAAGGCCTAAAGGCTGGGAAACCATGGAAGAGAATACTGTGAGAGTCCAAGCAAGAAGTAATAAGCCTTGATTCAGTTAAAGAACTAGAAAGAAGGTGACAGATATCATAAATAATGTGCCCGATGAGTGCAGAGACCAAGAAAGAGGAATTGTTGAAAAAGAGGAAACAAAGGTATGACCATCAGAAGTATGGCTCCCATAAGACTGGCTTTGAGTCCCTGCTCTCCCTACATACTAGCTGTTGATGTTAGGTAAGTCTTTTGATCTTTATTGAATCAACTCAAAGACAAGATGGTAGTTTTGTGAAATTTGCAAGGTTCCATCTTCTTGACAACAAGTACCTGTCACATAGGATTAAATGAGATACCAAACTATCAAAGTGTCTTTGACACAGCGGGTGCTCAGTGAATGAGACTTAGTATAATTATTTTCATTACCATTATTATTATTCAGAATACTATTACAAATGACTAAAAGGCATCCAACAGAGAGAGAGAGTGAAAAAGTGTGCAAAAGATATGTTCCGTTTTCCTTTTTCTAAAGTTTCATTTATTTTTTCCATGTACAAGAGAGATAGAGAGAAAGAGAGAGAACCCCCAAAGGGAACTTACTACCACAATCTACCTCAGCCTCAACCAGCCCTGGATCGTGGACATGCATGTTAACATGGAACCATCTCATGTGGGTCAGTCTCACAATGTCCTATATTACCACTGAGCCTCTATCTGGCCCTGAGTTTAGTTTTCTTTTCAGCATATGCTTTAAGAGCCAATACATGGTTTGCCACATTCTCTTCTCCTTCTGCTACAAGCCCAGTGATGCCTCAGATGGAGGCCATTCCACTGGCCTAGATCCCAATAAGACGATAACATGGAATAGAGCCACAACTTCCCCATAATCAACATATAGCCCAAGTGAGAAATAAACTATGTTGTCAACTATGGAGGTTTAGGAGATATTTGTTACTGAAGCATGATTCAATCTCTCCTGACTGTTACAAAGGTTAATTAATTGCCCAATGATCCTAATCTGTAATATATACAAGGCTGAAGCAAAGAAAACTCCCACAGGTTCCTCCAGAAAGGCTTACAAAAATGACACGACTCCAATCTTTTCCATCATAACAACAATCATAGCATCAGACTGTTAGCACACGCCAAGGGGGATAATTTGGGTGGAATGGGAAGATGCTCTGTACCCAGTATTTTACTGTTAAGGGCAAATTTGCAGAGATTTGGAAAATTGGGTGCTGTGTGGAGTAAACATACAGAGCAAGTTTTCAGCTACAACACAGCTGAGCTCAAGGGAATGGGGTTTGATAGTTGGTGTCAGCATAATGAATTAAAAAAATAAAACACTCCAGAATGTCTGCGAAACACTGTCAAGTTAAAAATCATGCCCATGGGTTTTTTTTTTTAAAGCTATTTCTCTAGCTTAACTATGGCTAATAATATCTCATTTTGTTAATTCACAAGAAAGGTCTTTTTAAAAATACCATAGCATGTCATTTTCCAGCCTAAACCCTTTCAATGACTTACCATTACCTTGAAGGTCAAGTTGAAACCATTCAAATGACATATAAGACCCTTCATGATCGGGTCCTGCTCATTTACCCAGCTTCACATCTGGCCATTCTCTCCTCCTATCCTATAATACCATCACTCAAGGACTAAAAAGTCCTAGGAGAAGCCATGTCCACTTTGCCACTGAGCTCTTGCACTTGCTGTCCTGTCTGCAATACTCTTTGAACCATGAAATTATTCAGTTCATGTGTAGAGCACCAGCAAATAGGATGCTCTAAATGTTTGAAATACTTTATCCTTCTCAAAAAAAAAAATTGAACATGGGGAATTACAATGTTTTCTTAGCGTTCCCTTGTATTTTGCTGCTCAGTATTATTTTTCATTTTTCTTTCTTGGAGAGGTTTTTGCCATAGGGTGCGTGTGCTTGCCAGACAGAGAGAGACAGAAAGTGAGAAATCATCCCCCAGGGGGGATGGCCTTGCCCCACTCCCCTCTCCTCCATTCTCCTCTCAGGATCTTGGGCATGCACGCACACGCGCCCGGCGTGAGTTCTAAGCCACTGGGTCTGGGACTCGAACTGTGGTCAACTACATGGGAGTCCAGTGACATAGCCATTATGCTAACTGCTGGTCCCCTTTTCTTTCTTTTTTTAAGAGAGCAATGGGTGGGAGAGAGAGAAAGATAGGTCTTTATAAAATTTTTGCCAGATGGCAGGTACACGCACAAGAGAGAGCAAAAGAGAAAAGGAGAGGGAGAAAGGAACTCCCAATGGAAAGTGGTTATGCCACAATCCGCTCTCCATTTCTGCATGCTGTTGGGATTTGAGGCACACACATGTGACTGGCATATTTTTCAAGCCACTAGAGCTGGGATTCAAACTGCTCAGTCAGCCATGTGGGATCAGGCTCCCTTAACCACCTGGTCAAGGAGCCAGCCTGAGATAGGTATTTTTAACAGTCTTGCCATGTTACAGTCTTCTTGCCCTTAATGTGCCAGTAAGCTGGGACCACAAGCACATGCCTCTGCACATGGTCCATTTAGGATGGGTTGAGAATCAAGCCTAGAGTTCCCTCATGGCCTCAGGCATCACACAACAGCACCCTCCCACTTATGTCACTGTGACTGGGCTTTGTTATTCTTCTCAGTTACACAGGGACCCATCATAATGTCTTCCTCACTCAATGCTATGCTAAAGGTTGTAGCCTGACCTGGCTTCTGGAACCACAGCTAATTTTCTTTATTTTTCCAGTTTTAGAGCAAATATGACCTCTCCCAGGAAAGTTAGTGTGGCCCCCTTCCCCAACCAAGATCAATAGCCTTCCTCCAGGTTACTAGAGTATTCAGTGCTTCTTCCATGGCAGCAATGTTCACGCAATGACTTTAACCCTGTTTAAATGGCACATACCTCTAAGTTGAACAAAAACTCCATGAGGATAGGGATGGCAATCTTATTCTCCACTATATTTCCAATTGCTGGCCCAGCACCTGGAATGTAACAGAGAGTCAATAAACATTACACTAAATGGTGAAACTGAAATATGCATCACTCACCCATGGACATAATACACATTTCTATCCAATGATTTCAGCATTGATTTGGTCAATGCTGAAAAAATTTTCAAAAAAAAGACATGAATTGTTTGAAGCAAGCATTGAGTTCTCAAAATCCAAGCCCCTATTTTTTTTTAGAAAAAATAACATAACATAAATACATATAACATATTGTGTGATAAAATACACATAACAAAATTTTGCCATTTTCACCATTTTTAAGTATTGTATATAATTCTGTGACATTAAGCACACTCACAATGTTGTATAACCATCACCTCTATGTATTTTCCAAACTTTTTCATTACCTCATTTACAAATTCTGGACCTATTAAGCAATACTTCCCCTCAGTCTCACTTGCCCACAGCCTCTGATAACCTCTAATCTACTTTCTATTTCTATGAATTATCACTTTTGATATTTCATGTACATGGAATCGTATGACAGGTAGCTTCGTGCCTTAGCATCACAATTTCTTTCTTGTTTTTGGAGAGGTTTTTGCTATAGGGTGCGTATGCTCACCAGGACGACAGAGAGCAAAAGAGAGCCAGGAAGTGAGAAATCGCCCCCCAGGGGGATGGCCATGCTGCAATCCCTTCTCTTTCGTTCTCCTTTTGAGATCCTGGGTATGCACACACATGTGCATGGCATGAGTTTAAGCCACTAGGTCTGGTACTCGAACTGTGGTCAACTACATGGGAGTCCAGTGACAAAGTCATTATGCCAACTGCTGGTCCCTTTTTTTTTCTTTTTAAGAGAGATTTTTGCTATAGGGTAGAAACAGATAGAGACAGGGAGATAGAAAGTGAGAAATCGCCTCCCAGAGGAGATGGCCATACCACAATCCCTTCTCCTCCATTCTCCTCTCAGGATTTTGGGTATCCATGCACATGCCCCCTGAGTGAGTTTTAAGCCACTGGGGTCCAGGACTGAAACCATGATCAATTATGTGGGAGTCCAGTAACATAACCATTACGCTATCTGCTGGTCCCATCATCACATTTTCAAGGTTCATCCATCCACACTGTAACAGAATCAGTACTTCACTGTTGTTCACAACTGAATAATATTCCATTCTGTGGATAGGCCACTGACATAAAACTATCTGCTCAAGTCCCCGTCTCCAATTCTTTTTGGCATATACCCAGGAGTGGAATTTCTGGGGCATATGGGATTTCTATGTTTTCCATCTCCCTATTATTCCCCTATTGGAAGCAATACCATTGCTTTTGGGAGCTCTGGAAATGTAGCAGATACTGTGTCAGGCTCTTTATTCACATCAGCTCAGAGGAACCTCTGTGAAACCTTCTATGGTATATACATTTGTTACCCCCATGTTTGTTGTGGACAAACTGAGGTCCTAATACCTCCTATTCTATTCCAATTCCTTTTGGAATTTTGGGCACTCAAGCCAGGTCCAGGATTTAAACTGCACAGTCAGCCATATGGGATCCAGTCACTTTAACCACCAGGCCATGGGTTGGCCTGGTAATTCTCTTTTTAAATGAGATAATACAGAGTATACAATTTTGTTCCTTCTTAAAAATAAATCTCATGGAACTATATTTCATATTAATAAATATATTTCTCCAACATAATTTTATAGTTATCTAGTACTCCATTCAGCAGGTATATACTGAATGCATAACACTGTGTCTCAGAACATATTTAACAGAGCCTCCATTATTGTATACAAATTCCTTATTAGAATAAAGATATCTATAGTAAATATCCTCATACTTAAATCTTTGTACATATATTTTGATTAATTTCTGGAAATCCTACAAGTAGAATTGTTTGGCCCAAATAAAACACTTTTGCAGGCTTTTGACAACTATCTTAATCAGGCAAATTTGGTGTCAGAAACAGACACCTATTTAACTGAGGTTCAAGGTGGTTTGTTAAAAGGACACTGGACTTAAGAAGGGTGAGGAAAAATAACTTCATGGATCTTAGCAGTCAAATACGGGGACTCTCATTCCATGCTATTGGTATGTATGAACCATCAACTCAATTGGTTTTTATTTCACGATTTTCCAAAATCTCAAGGAAGAGAAAATCTAGTTTGTGTAGCTTTAGCTTATGGAATTGGTTCCCCTTGGCCTTATCACAGGCAGTCAGGTAGCAGCAGGGACCCATCTGAAACTGATAACCTTCTAGTATATGAAATAGATCTTAATCATAGTTTGAGAATAAAAAATGTGTCATTAGATAAAAAATAATGTCTTTTTTGTTTGTTTTTCATTTGTTTATAAATGAATCACCATTCTTAGAACATATTCAGAACTCGTTTGCTCCCAAGTGACAGAAACCCAATTTGAACTGGACTAAGTATAAGGCAATTTATTGGTTCATGATACTGGGAAGATCAAGAGTAGATCCATTATATCATTGTACACAGCTACCTCTGGAGCTAGACAGTGGCACAGCAGTAAGATACAATGCTCTGAGAGCCAATCCCACATGAGAAGGTTCCCAGTTGAAGCCTAGAGGCCTCCCAGAGTATGCCAGGCACACACTTGACCATGACCTGAGGCTGGCTGAGCCTAGGAGTAGGTCATAGTGTCAGGACTCTGTTGGGGGTGCTGTCTTTCTTTTTGTCTCTCATTTATAGAAGAAATAAATAAACACGCACACACAGAAACAAACACAGCTATATCTAAAAGGTCTACAGTGTCACCAGGACCCTTTCTTCCTCCTCCTCCCTTTCCTTCTACTTTGCTTTCTTCTGCAATGGAGTAATTTATAGGCTGACTCTCTTCTGGGTACGGTATGATAGCTGTCAGCGGTTCTTGTCTTACATCCTACTACCTTGGCAATCTCAATAGGAAGAGGGTGCCCTTCCCCAGCAAAAATCCCAGGGTTCACTCCTATTGCTCCAAGAGCACAAAACCAACAGCTATAACGGAAAGGAATAGTCTGATTGGTCGGGCTTAAGTTCTGCCCCTGGGGCTGGGCAGTGGGATCAGCCCCGCCTGAACTACATGAACAGAGAGTAAGAGATCGGCAGCTCCCAGAAAGAAAATCAAGGTGTTTTTGCCAAAAGAAGAGAAATGGATGTGGGCTGAGAAGTATCACTACAGAAATATAGTAGGTATTTTTCTCTTTTTCCGGCAGAAAGATGGATCATACTGAACCATTCTGACTTTATTTCTCCCAAATGACAAATAGGAGGTTTTATAAATTTGTTAAAATATGCAGCCCTGTTCAATAGAACTTTCTGGAATGATGGAAGTGTTCTTTATCTGTGCTATCCAGTATAGGAGGCACAAGCTACAATGTTGCTATTGAGTGTTTGAAGTGTGGCTAGTGGGACTGAGAAACGGAATTTTTTCATTTTAATTAATTTAAATTTAAATAGCTACAGTATAAGGCAACACGGAATAAAAGACTATGAAGTTTTTCTGTTAGCATTGTATAGAAATGAGATCTTCAATGCATCTGGATTCCAGTAAAAGAAACTCTCCTGCCCTTGTGGGCTGGCAGTGAAACTTTCTGAATCTCAGGGAGTTTTTCCATGAGAGAGATGGGAGGTCTGCGCTGTGTCCACGGGCCAGCGATGAATGTGGCGCCTTGTAATGAAATAACTGAAACATCATTGTGACTGTAGAATCAAGGGTCTTCCCTCCTTATCTCCAAAGCGCCCGTGTTTTACATGAAAAAGCGTTTCTAATTAATAGGCCAGCCCCTCTTGAGTTTGATAAAAACAGAGGAGAAAAGGATTTGATTAACCCGCGATCTTTTCAATTTGGCGTGTTCTGCATGAGTGAAGTGTGTTTTCTGCAACCGAGCCAAGCCAGGCTCGTCCTGGTTTACCGTGATAACATTCTTCCCTTTGTGTGGCCCTGATTTACTTCCAGAAGAGGTTAGTATGAAGAGATTCTCAGAGGTAATCGCCAGCACGGCCCGCAAGGGTAATCTGGATTCTCAAACAGAGGCCTACCCAAAGAAGAAAAGGATGACAAAGGCTTCCATTGTCCCCATACATAAGATAGTTCCTTCAGCCCAGAAACTGAGGGCAGGAGGTTTGGGCTGAGCAGGGATGGGAGGACCTTGTAGAAGAGTGGGTGGTACGTTCAAAGTCAAAGGGTCAGCTTCTGGGAGGGAAATAGTCAGTTGTAGCAATTGTTCAGTGGGATGACCTGGTGTTTGCTAGCTCTCTCAGCTCCAGCTTGTGGCCAAAGAAGCCCCCATGGACTGGGATGGAAGCAGGTCACAGAGTGATATGTTTTCTGATTTCATTTTCCTCTTTGTTGACTCATAAACTTCTTTCTCCTCTCTGCCTAGAGAGACAGGGTAGGTGGCAATTAAGGTTTTTCTAGCTGGGCATGGTAGTTTGAAAACATTATTGCAAATTATTTGTCAGTTTACTACCAAGAAGAGAGGTCTCTGGGTTTTCCACTTGGATCTGGATGGTCGGTGACTGCACCATGCTGCAGAAGCCACATGTTGGAGCTTTATTTGAAAAGCTCTGAAAGAGCTGGCTTTTCAGGCATCTGAGAGGGATGAAAGTGTGCCAGACATGGAGTGCACCCTCCAGACCAATCCACCTGCTACCTGACTATTTCTGAATCCTCTCTGTCAATAACACCTGGACAGAAGAATCACCCAGCTAAGCCCTGCCTAGACTGCTATTCCATAAAATCATGCTATATGCTATAGTACTTGCTGTACTCAAATCACTAAATTTCTCACAGAGCAAGAAGGTACCAGGAACAAAGGGAAAAATAACATATATAGGTTCTTTTGTTTATCAGTAGGCCGTGACTCTGTCCACAATTGCTAAGCCAGAGAAGACTGAATGTGATGACTATTGTGGGTATCTAACACACTTCCTCAAAGAATACACCCTTTCTGCTTGAATTTCAAGGTAATTTGACCTTTATGTCAGGCTTATGGGCAAAACCTTTTAGGATCCTGGGACTGGGAGATA